TCCGATTTGATTTTCACTTTTACGAGTTTGGGGAAGGGCTAATATCAATCCCCGGGCGAGGAAAACTGAAGGTCAGTACGGAAAAATATTTTTCTCATAGACATCTGATTGTGCCCTATGGCCATTCATTTGACATGACTGACTTGGCTTTTTTGCTTCCGAATGGAAGTTTTGTAATCATTCAAAATTAAGTTTCCAGTTTTTTGTGTCAGGGCAACTAAATAAAATATGGTCTAAAAAGTCTAAATATGTGATTTTTATATGGTGTATGTATGCATGCATGCATGTATATATGTATGTGTGTACTTTTTTCAATTTTTTTGTCACAATTTTTTTATAGGAGCTTGATGAAATTTCATGAATTTTTCCATCGTTATAGACGTTAATAGGCTCTATTCATCGACATCAATTAAAGTTGAATTATTCATAGAGCTTGTGAAATATTGGTATTCTTTCAAAAATCGATTTTTCGACGCTTAGTCTAAGAATTGTTATCAGTATGAAATGAATCATGGCTTAAAAAATTTGTATTGATAGCCTCTTGATTTTATCAGAATATGATAAGAATCACATCTATCACTGTTGAGCTATAGCATATAGTTTGTGAGATTTTTTTTTCATTTTTTTCATGATAAACTGGAAAAATTAACAGTTATATCAATGAAATCGTGGCTCAAAAAGATTGTTTTGATGCTTTCTCGATGGAGTGCAAAGATGATGAAAACCGTATAACTATTTATTAAGTTGCATTGTAGCAATATGAAGCTTTAGGTCATATGGTGTCATAAAGGGCTCATATAGGATGATACAGGGTCACATGGGGTTGATATGGGGTCAATTGAGGATCGCATGGGGTTATAAGGGAGTCATATGGGAGTCACATTGGGTCATATGTTCTCATATGGAGTTATATAGAGGTCATATGGAGCCATACGGTGTTGTGGGGTCATACAAGGGTCGCATCAGTTCATACAAGAGTCATATGGAGGTCATATGCGATTATATGGAGTGATATGCAGTCATGTGGGCTTATATAGGGTCATGTGGGGCCACATAGATGTCACATGGAGCCACCTGGGGTCATATGGGGGTTCTATGGGCTCATAAAAGGGTAATATAGGGATCATAAGAGAGTCATATGGGTGTCACTATTCAAAACAATAAAAAATCAAGAATAATACATTTCAAAAATAGAGAATCCATTCGGAAGCATATTGTTAATTTGTTAGCAATACAAACTATACCCATATACAGAAAATTCGATTATCCACTTGTTTTTATTTTTTTGTATTTTCTATAATATTTATTGCTCAATAAGAATCAAACAAAACTTTTCTTTGATGCAGTTTTTTTACGATTACATCTGCTTTTCATCATCATGTATGACTAAATATACTGATAACTCCCTTCAAAACTGTCATGATATCGTAACCTTCAAGTTACCGAGGGAGTAGACGCCAGTTTCCACCGACAAAAAAAGCCTCCACTAAAAATCTAACAGATCGATGGTTTATCAAAAAAAATCGGGTTCGAATTTCCGAGAAATAGACCACAGATTTTAAAACTTTCTATTGCTGGCATACGGTTATTGCAAAAATTATGACGATGTTTTATGAACATTTAGTGATGCTTTTAGTCCCGTCAGAGAATTAATTCCTCGATCAAGTTTCGATTGCCATGAATTCCCTACACTTTTAGGGTCTGCTTTATCATAAAAAACAACCAATAACAATGAACACTAAATCATGAATCAAATCTAAGTTCACTTTTGTGGCACTGACTGGTGAATTTGGAGATTGTAAATTTCGTTGAAATGTTTGAATCCATACATAGCTGAATAAAATTCTATCATTTTTCCAAGGAAGTATTGTGAACTATCCAACAATCAATAACCAACGTTGACCACGTACTTTAGGATGAAATTGGACCAAGAATATCGAAATTCTCGTGACTTTCGAATATTTGTAAAATTGTTTTCAACTCCTCAAATTAATGGAAATAACAGGATAAACTAGATTAAACGAACAAGTTGTATAACTTAACAGTTTCCGGGAACTCTAGCCATGAAGCTGAATCATTAAAGTGGGTGTTTCGATATCATCTTGTAATGGAAGGAAGGTGATCCCTGGTCTTTACAAAGATGAAACGAGGGAGGACAGAGTTGGTGAGCCACGTGAGGCAATAACGTTTCTGACTAACCCGTGGGGTCTCGACCTCGTTCATTCTTCCACCCACAGAAGCTACTTGTGTTCCCCACTATCACAACTCCGACACTCTATCAACATTGCGTTGGCGTACCTGACGCAAGGCGTTCCAAGGGACGTAGCTCCAACGCTCAACATCGTTCTGGTGCGCTGCGCTAGTTTCCTCTCACCCGGTGGCTCTTTTCATGCAATTAGGCAAATTCCATTATTTTCTCAGAATATTGTTATTTTATCTGATTGACCAGTGGGGGAATTTCCACATTCAATTCTCATTGTTGGGATATTTATAGAGAATGTCTCATGCCTGTTAATGATTTGAAATGGCTAAAAGGCATTGTTTCAGATTTTCAATGAATTGAACAAAAGTTACAACCAATTACTTTTGTATTAGACTGTTCTCGATTTTATTTCATCAAAAACCTATTTCCAAAGTAGAACAATCAGTTAATTCGTGTGCCCGAGGATTTCAGTGCGATTCTCACTTCTAGCAATCTTGACGATCTCTTCCCATGACATCTTAAATGCTATCCAATGAGTTTCCCAATAGTTTCTCATCAATTTTTCTACTTTTCTCGATATGATTTTGGCAGGAAACCTGATATTGTTTCGGATCCATTAATAAGGCATTTTAACTGAAAACTCCGCTATGAATTTTTGAGGGGTTTTAATTCCAACCAGCACAGCGAAAAGTAGAGTTTTTAGGGATATATCCCTATTTTTTACAAAAGCGACGGTTATAAAATTTGACAAGTGAGAAAATCCTGCAGTGCAATGAGTTTATTACTAATTTTTAGTCTTAATAATCCTGAGACTCAGACAGAAAAGTATTGATTTTCAAGAGTACGTGAATTACCTGTTGAATAGTGTTGCACTAGAGTTTAAAAGTATTTCTCCTCATTCTGAGCGATTATTCCATTTGAAATTTAATAACTATGCTTTTTATAACTGATGCATTTCATTCGAAAACGTGAAATAATACTGCACAGAACCTTTCAACCTACTACTCTTTTTATATCAAAAAGAAATTATCGGATCACCAATTCATTAAACATACCTGACACTAAAATTCAGTGATGTTTTTACTCTGAATCTTAGTAATTTTAGCCGTAAATTTCAGTAATACTAAGTTTTCTCGAAATTAGCGATAAATCTCTGAAACTCTGAAACTTAGATGTATCTTTACAATTGAAATTTTTTTTCCCGGGAAATTCTTTTAAGCACCGAAATTAGGGTCTAAATTTTGAACTGCCACTTGACTTGATGCTTGAAGTATATACTTCATGGTATAAACGAAATATTAAGCAACTCATTGAAACATCATGTGGAAACCTAATTAGTGTTTAATTTATTAGTTTGAATTTTAATTTAATTTCTCAAAAGTTTGAAGCAACGTTCAACTCTACACTGTAATTTTCTTGTTTTTATCGAGAACTTAATTTCCTCTCATTTTTAGCATTTCCATCTTGAATATTATTCAATGAATATTATTCAATTTAATGCATCTTAATTACAGTAAAATGTCAAGCAGTTTGGAGTAAACCCCTGAAGCTGGAAATTTAAGCACAATTCCGGGTTTCAAGCTTCAGTTGATGTGGAATACTATAGGAAGGGGATAGAATTTCAAACAGCTCGTTTGAACTTCAAGTAAAAATTGAATCAGAATTGAATTCAGCGTGTTCGTGGATTTTCAGTTTATTTATCAAAAGATTACATCACCGGTTGAATCTACATGAAAACTCTCGAAATCATGACTTTTGTTCTTAGAAAAAACTTCAATCTCTTGGATCAACATTTGTCAGTAAAATTTCACTAGGAAAAATATACTTGAATGATGTGAATTTTGTCTTCAATTCAGGAATATGAATAACTTTGGTTTGACAATATCAATACCTGAATTGAGTATATTCTTCTTGAATGACGCATAATGTTAGAGATCAAATGGGCAATAATTCTTTCGAGTAATTATATTCTTGCCTTCGATAAAAAATATACTTGAAATATATTGCAGCATGAATATACATGAATCAAGTTCATCAAGTGTCATCGTTCATTATATTTGGATAAAATCGACACTTCAGTAACAGACAAGTGTTACATCTTCGAGAATCCATAGCGCTTACAGTTGTTTGTTATTACACTGAGAGAAAAATATAATTCTTCTGACTATATTCCATCACCATCGAATTATAGTCAAAAAGTCCTCAACAATTTTTCATGGGTTACGGTAACTATGGCCGGAGAAGTAATTACTACAATGGAATGTAGTCATTGCAACTATTTTATAGTTCTCCTCACGATAGATTTGTCGTGGTTACTTTTGAACTTTGGTTAGTTTAACGGCATTTTGATTTGCAAAAATTACGCTTGTGAAGTTACTATAATGTTATGTGCCACATACAAAAAAAAATCGTATCGTTCACCAAAATGCCTCAACTATTTTCTTATTGTAAATCGAACTTCAGATTTTTCTCTCAGTGTAAGTCGTCGAGATATACCTAATCCGAATATATTTTTTCCCTGTTCAATGTGATCCATTCATAAAGCTAGATGTGAGAGGTAGATATATAATTAACTGGAGCAAACGTCTGTTGGCACTCGAGAAGGGTTCAACGTCACTCGAAGCTTTCCCCTTGTCTCTCAAGTAGTTACAATTTAAATTCAGTCCGTCTCGAATAAAATAACTTTATACTTCGTGGCAACTCAATGAATATTTATCCGTTTGTACTGATAATGCTGGCTGAAAGCCAATTTGACGTTTCTCTATCCTGCACTCATATCTGCTATTTCTTTTTCCAGAAGTCAAAATGGAACTTGAGGATCTCATGGCTGATATCAAGAAATCTGCTAACAAAGTTCGAGCCAAGTTAAAGGGTGCGTTGAATGATGAATAATTTATCTGTCGATCTGAGAACTCCATTCGATCATGTGAACTAATGAATTCTTCTTGCCTTATAGTTATAGAGCAAAATATTGAGCAAGAGGAACACACGAACAAATCATCCGCGGATCTCAGGATACGCAAAACTCAACATTCAACATTATCCAGGAAATTTGTCGAGGTAATGACGGAGTACAATCGAACGCAGACCGATTATAGGGAACGGTGTAAGGGAAGAATACAACGACAGCTTGAAATTAGTAAGTAGTCCTATATCAAATGTTGTTTTAGATTTTTTCATCAGTTCTTTCATTCATTTATTGATTCATCGTCACCAATTCTTCGTATTCATTAGAGTTGTGCCGCGTTGAAGAAGGGTTAGTTGGGAATTACTCGCATTAGTTTTTAGATTTTTATCATTTGTAATTGAAACATGAGCTATTTTATCCTAGAAATAGTGACTTAAATAATGGTAGAAACTGTTGGATTGAGAATTGTGTTTTATGTACAAATTATGTTCATGTTCATCCCCTACTATTGAAACGGTTTTGGGTCAAATTCGGAATGCAACGCTATTGCCATCAACTAGATTCTCTTTCTACAATTTCTTTTGTTTGATGTGAGAAAAGAAATCACGGAAAAGAGAAAATTCTATATTTAAAATATTTTGGATTGAATTTCCTCTTCATATTAATATTCATTCCCTATGTTTGAAGTATTTTCTTGAAGTCTCTTGAATTTTTCATTCAATCCGCCCGCAATTTTTTGAATCTATTATCCAATTTCCTTCGTTTCAGATTCATAACTTCAAATTTAGACACTCGCAGTTTTCAATTTAAAATTGTAATTTATTCCCCCCTCTCCACATTCGTCACATTTTCATACAACTTTTTCCACGTAAAACAGTCGTGCACTAAAAAATCACCCCTCATTATTCATTATCATAAAGGAATCGAGAATTTCATTGTGAGAGTTTTCAACTGGAAAATGAAGGAAATATCTCTAATTTGAGAACTCTACTTCAACCAAAAAATCTAGAATTGAAAATTATCTGAATTGACAATTTGATCCTCATTATTCCTACCTTCCTACGCTCAATATAACCATATTTTTCTTTCACAGCGGGGAGAACTACGACTAATGAAGAGCTCGAGGAAATGCTTGAGCAGGGGAATCCTGCAGTATTCACGCAGGGGGTGTGTATTAACCAACTGAAAATAAATTGTGTTTTATTTTACAAGCACTGCACAAACGAATCAGATTGAAATAGTGAATCTGGGCAATCTGAGAAATCGCTGCAGAGAACTATAATACGTTTTGTTTTATCACTTAGTAGAATTGGCATACTGCAACACCAAAACAGCATTTTCTTGACAAAATGACTTGTTGCAGACAATGGAGTCTCTTCATTTTTCGCACACATTTCATTTTTTGAATTAAGACCTTGTTAGCAGAAATTGTAATTCCCACATTGCAAATATTAAACTAATATTACAAAACTTATGTCTTCAGCTAAATGTACAATCTCTTAAGAACAAATACCTTGCAACAAGAACTCCGTAGAATGAAAATGGTCACTTCACGGTGAAGTGAGAATTTCTTGGCTCGAGAAATTGTTTTTTTTTCGTGTTAGGAGATGAGAAAATGACTCAGAATAGTAAAAACTTCAAGACAATGAATCACAAATCAGGGGCTTTCGTATTGAATGAATGCACAACTCATGCAAAAAGATATTCATAGACATTCCTGAAATATGAACATCGATATTACGAGCTCTCAAATGGAGTGGAAGCTAGCCGAAAATTCGTTTGCCGAAAATAGGAAAGCAGTGGTTCTCACGCTCGACCGAGTTTCCACCCTTGGAAGATGATTTAGCAGATTATTAAAGGCCGACAAAACTTGACNTCTCAATCGCAAAAGTTCAAAGGGAAAAATTTACCCCATTTTCTTATTTTAAACTTCTCTCATCTTTTCGATCTATCGAAAAAAAAGAGATCCATTGACCAGGTGACACCTTCACCCTCTAACCGAACAAGCCCCAGTATGCGAGTCGTGACAACAACGCAGCTTCGAGTCGGTGACGCGGATGTATTTGAAATGGTCGGGTTATAATGAGTAGTTCAAAATTGCGGTAATTCAATCTTTTTTTTTTATTGACTATCTATAAACACTGTAATACTTCACAAACATGGAAAATAGAATAATAAAATAATAGATAGTCATGTGTTATTTGACTCACAACTCTCAAAAAAGAAAAAAATTTTATCAATAACTTTTTTAGTTTCCGTAACTCGGGGTTTGTTCATGTCATTTCGTTCTGATAATAATTGCATCAATTCTCCTTTTTGTTTACTCACTGTCAACAACACGACAAATGAGATACCAGAGTTGGCAATTTTTTTTTAACATGTCAGATACATTGCTCTTTAAAACCATTAACAAAGGTGATAATGTCAATGCTTTTTCTTTGGTAATTTCCGATGCGATACACTCCAAGTACGACTTTTTTGCAAGGAATAATTCTTCCTTGGTTATTAATTTCTCTGACAATGTTTGTAAAACTTCAACATCAAATAGTGCTTCATGGAAATTACCACTAATTTCCAGAAAATTCTCTACTAACTTGCCTAATTTCATCATGCCAGTACCTTTTCTTTTTGGGAACATTTTTTTAAATAGTGCTAAAGAGTCGGTGAACCGAACAGGTTAGGAGTCACATTCAGAGATACACTGCGCGTGGTTGCCACGATCGACACCATTCAGCTTCACCGTTAGCTGTATGCGCACGTATTCATGCATAGTACATTCATGTATGCGTGAGCCGAGTCGAACTGTACATCACCAAAAGTTTTTGTTTCAAACCGGGTTCTTCGTTCAGCGGGATGCCGGGATACCAGCTCAAAACGTGGAAAATTTCAAGTGTGACTCTCTCGCCACAACCTTTTTTTTTTTTTTATGCTTATTTTATATCGCTTCGAGTCTGATGAGACTATATGGCGATTGATCAAGACTTTAAAAATGGTTAGATCTCACCATTCTACCCGGCCAGGAATCGAACCTGGAACCTATCCGTTGTGAGGCAACGGCCTTAACCACTACGCCAGGCCACCGGGC